TGCTGCTTGCGTGTGAGAGTAGAGTCATGTGAGAGCGAGCTCCATATTCCTGCCGCCAGGAAAATGTGTTTATGGTGGACTAGTATCCGACTGTCTGGCTCTGCAGTTGTCACTGCACACAGCGGGTGGGCGTGGCATCCTTGACGACAGAAAACAGAATACAGATCTTTCCCAGACGACTGACATTTCATATCAGGGTGATGAAAGAGTCTCCCCGTGTGTCTCTCGTTTCGGGGGCGTGGGCAGCGTGGCAAAGCGCTCTGCAGGTTTCACATGAGCTGCTCCGTGTCTCTTGTTTTTCACAGACAGCACATCTGATCTCTGTTAAATGTAAACATGTTGAGGGCAAGGCAAGAGGGTGACAGGGAGACTGATGAAGGGCTGCTGAAAGGTGTGTGTGTGTGTGTGTGTGTGTGTGTGTGTGTGTGTGTGTGTGTGTGTGTGTGTGTGTGTGTGTGTGTGTGTGTGTGTGTGTGTGCCGGGGTAGGGTCCCTCACCACCTCAAGAGCCCCTCCATCTGGCCTCGCTCTCTCCAGGAACCTGTCAGCCAGATGTGGAGCCGCTCGGTTGGCAACCCCAAATTCCAGCACCTCGACATGGTGATCCACACTCACGCATCGCTGCCCCACTTTCACTTCACATCACAGAGCTGCGTGTAGACAAGGAGGCCACATGCATACAAAGTTTGCAAAATGTAAAACAACGATAAACTAAGTCTTCAAATCAGGAATAACATGTATAATAAACAGTTATTATGGTGCTTGTCTGCAGATTTTTTTAGCCATAACTTCTATCAGTGATGGTAAGATTGCATTTAGAGATGATACGATTGCGTTGTTGTGTCTGCTTAACGCTGACTATGCAGTGAATCCGTCATGCTGCTGTCTTGTGGGCTCGAGTCAAAACAACACCAGAGGCCTGGTTGTGCATTTTTCTTCTCTTTAAAGCCAACGGGGAACAAACCGAGTCAGCTCTGGCAGTGAGAGGAAACATTGCAGTGGTGTTTCAGATGACCTTTGACCTTAGTTTAGCGGGTTTGGCTCCTTGCCAGACAAGCCACTCAGTGCTGTGTGTACGGGCTGAGGAATGCGCCGCCGGGCTGCAGCGAGCTCATTAAACAGAGAGTGAGGGGTGAAGGCCCGTTGTTTGCACTGGTGCACTCCTCAGGCCCTGCAGCGCTTTGTGTGCCCATAGATCTCCAGTACCCTGCACTGTCCTGGGACACTGCTGTCACCGGGACAGTCTGTGTGTGGACACTGGCCATGTTTTCTCTGCAGCAGCAGCACACAAAGATAACCTTCAATATGCCTCCATCTGAAAACTGCTGCAGAGCTCGCCGTCAACATTTCATGGTTGCTTTCCTTCGAAGGCCTACAGTTTGAGCATATCTGTGAGAAAGGGTCTGTACAGTAACCTCGGAGCACAAGTCAGCAGTTTAAAGATCTTGTTCCAGTTTTCAGCACTGTGCATGCAGCTTTCTTTTTTTTCTCTCCCCTGCCTTTGCTTTGTTTTGGCACTGAGCCCCTGATGGAGAGGGAGGACAGGGGCGGGGGGGAGGCCAGAGATCAGACACAAATCATCCCGTGGTACTCTGCACGTGAGAACAGTCAGGTGGTCACTTCCCTGCAGACGTGACTCCGGATCAAATCTAATTGGAGGTTTACTATTAAATCCTCTCCTGCAGAGACATGTTGTTTTTTGCAGAAGGGATTGCTCCTCTTAAAATCTACTTTTAAAACAATAACACTTTGAAATTAGAGTTTTTAGTCAAATCCCAAGAGTATTGTGTCCACAGGACATAGAAACCCTGACTTTTGAACTGTGTTTGAACTTGTTGACCCACAAGTAGAAACTGTTATACACCACAGCAACAGGCTTGCATCGTGACACTTGTCATGACTGGAATATCAAAGACTGTCCTATTTTCAACCCAGACACATTTGATGTTTTTCAGAACCACTTGTAGATTCATGTTCATCTGGTGCCACACTGCGCTTGCATGGCTGTTTGAAGCCGTCTGATAAACATAGCGTGACTCTGCTTAGGAATAACAAACGTGAGTGGAGGAGGGTCCTAACCCTGCTCCTAATAGACTGTGTGCTCTTGAAGAAAAGCAGCGAGTGTGTCTCGCGGCGGGGGGAACATTGGAGGAGCTGTCAGAGACACACTGCCAGGTTAAACCAAGAAACCTACTTTATTGATATGCATGAGAAGCCTTTTTGTCACAAAGCATGTAGCAGGAAATGCACGGCTCAAGACGAAGAGAAGCCCAGATTTGTTGAAACTTCAGTGACAGAAATGTTGAAGTGGATCGTTATCAGCAATTACATAAAGAGCCTGTTTACGTCAATTCAAAAGCTACAGTTGGAAAGTATAGATAAGAGGGGAGAGATTTTGATTTAGGTTTTCACATTTGAAACTCGTGCCATGTGACATACAAAAAATAAATAACATAGAATAAATTGTCAGATGTTATTCCATATTTAACCTGATAATTTAACATTTTAGACGAGCTTAGGAAGAGAAAATTCATCCCACTCTCACATGATCGGACTGCCATAATAACTCCAGACCGATCTTCACACATTCAGGTGATGAAGAGCATCTGTGCACATTTCTATCCTCTGCATGCCAGGTCAAATATGCGGTGAGCATACAGGTGGAGCCTTTAAGTCGGTACAAACGGGTTTTTCTTGGGGGGGAAAGGTGGGAAGTCAGGCAGAGTATTCGGGGAACGCCTTGTTTTTGTTTTTCATCACAAGAGAGGGGGAGAGGGGGGAGCGGGGTGCAAGATGGTGGCCCATTGGCTCAAGTTTCCCTGTGAATGGTGTGTGTGGAGCGCTGCCTGGTGCAGCTGAGCACACTGCGCTCAAAGGGCCCTTTTTTCAACCGCAGAGAAAGTCAAGCCGCTCGCTCGGACCCCGCTCCCTTTCCAAAAAACCACTCCCCTCCCCCCGCTGCTGAGACCCCCAGCTCCTTCCTGCCCGCTTCCCCTGGCCGCTGTCCAAGTGCTTCATGTGGCTGGACTGGGGCAGGTTGGAGGTGGGCCCTCGCCCGTGACTTCAGAAGACACTTGTTTTCCACTGGGACGAGGGTGTGTTGGTGTTGGCAGGGTGGAGCAGAGGGGTGGAAGGGTTCAACGGATGAGGGGGGAGACAGAAATGCCCCCTGGGAGAGGAGGAAATAAAAGAACCAGAGCACTTTCACACGCCCCTTCATGGGAACGCCTGTGTGCACCTGTAGGGAGGTAGATGTTTAAAGGGCGCCTTTGATAATCTGGTGCATTTTTACCAATTAAATCCATAAAATATTTAAGATGCAACTATCATTTAGGACTTTAATTTGTAGCGCTAAATATGTATTTCCTACAGGCCGCCTCTGGATGACCTCTGAATGAAACAGACGGAGCTTGTGAGAGGGTCTCAATCTATGTGAAAAACACAGACGACGCCCTTCCTGAAAAAGACAAAAAAAAGAAAGGGAAAAGACTGTGTGTGTGTGTGTGTGTGTGTGTGTGTGTGTGTGTGTGTGTGTGTGTGTGTGTGTGTGTGTGTGTG